CCATGTATCTAATATCTCATATACATGCGAATCATACCAGATACATACAGATACATATATCTTGTGTGACCCATATGTATCTAGAATGCAGAACAAAATATCGCTCGCTTCTCTTTTTATTTTAGTGTATCTAGTAGTAAAAATACATGTATTTAAGTATCTATTCCGCAATATATGGTAGGGAATTCTTAATTAGTGATAAGATACGTAATATATAAATTAGAAAATGTTACCTTCTCTCAATATATCACATATTTAAACCACAGCCTTGAACTCTATTTACAGCTTTTCTTGCCTAATATCAAAGATTAAAAAAAAAAAAAGGTTTATGTTAGTAATAGGTTCATAGAAAGCAAAACAAAATTAATTGTTGTTTGTTCATTAAAAAGATAGGTAGCATATCAAACAAAACTAAATTTGCTTTCGCGAGCTAGGAGTAAGTCACTCATTCATCCTTAACCAGAAGTCTCTGTGTCAAGACTTGGATACGAGAGTCACCTTTGTTAGGAAAAACTTTACCTTCTACCGTGGGACTTCCTGACGCAAATTTGGATTAGCCCGACTCAATAAGGGTACCAAACACCGAGTGAAAAGCCAAAAGGTTAAAAGAGTTGCTTTCACAACTGGATATAGTTCTACTAAGTAAAAGGGAATGAGCAATCTGTAGGCATATACCTCCTTATCCCAATTAGTGCATATATTTATCGCGATAAGCGCCACATTTTGCACTAGCAATGCACATATGATCCCCATCCATAGTCCCTAAACATAGATCAAAGACAACGATCGATGAGATTTGATTCGGGGTAGTTAGTTTTGAGGGGATGTTAAAAGAGTAATAAGAGATGTACCAGGCCTCCAGTATCGAAAACGAATGCAAAGAGAACAGAAGAAGGTAATCCCACAACATAATAAGCTCCAAGATTGATAAATGCACAGAGTTTTTGCCATCCACATCCTCTAGCAGCCCCTGAAAATGCAAAATGAGCATACTCTAGTATGTAACGTTGTCGTTCTTAATACAGCTAACGAAAGATCAATCGAGTACTTCTCAACCTGAAAGCACACATTGGAAGCCATCCAAGAAATCAGATAAAGCAAGCAGAGGCAAAATCTTGGCAACGTATTTGATCACTTCTTCTTCGTTGCTGTATAGTTTCCCCCACACAAAACGAACCAAAATGGTGGTGGTCGCGATTATCAGTCCTACTGATATGGCCACAATTACGACAACATGTAAAGCTAATCGTGCTCCTTGTGGACGACCAGCCCCCAATTCATTTGAAACTCTTGTGCTGATAGAAACAATTAGTTAAAGTTGATACATATCAGATCACTTGAGTACCGTGCATCGACTTACCTTATAGCACCACCAAGTCCAACTGAAACCATGTACACCATCCAACAAGTATTGAGACTGAAAAGAATTTCAAAAGAACTTGTGTAAAGGTATACGTACGAAGCAAAATGCACAATAAGAAGGATGTTAATAGAACACGAACCTTATCGATAACACTGATGTCTCTAATTTAGGATTAGGGAGAAGGCCAGATAACAGAACAACCATCTCGAATGACCAATATTCGAAACTGAAACCAGCGAGATAATACGTTACAAAGTCCAGTTACTCCATAACAGATATGTCTAGTAATAGAATTGGAAAGAATAAGAACATCGATGCATAAGCACGTTAACGAGTAAGTACATTGAACATATTGATTAATGAAAAAGAATGAGATTACACTTACCAAATCATAACAGCAGAAGGAATGGCAAGCTTGATAAAATCTAGAATGTCGTCCAAAGCTTCCTTCGAAAAACCAGTCCAAGTTTTTCTACAAGCCGGGGAAAATTTAACATAACCAGCTAATAAAAACACGTTAATCCAATATGAAATGGCATTAGCCAAAGCAGCTCCCTTGCTTCCGAGACCAATCTTGAACACGAAAATCCAACATATAAGAATGTGTGACAAAGCCGTGAAACCAGAAGTCAACATCATGGGCATCACTATATTTTGAGTCTGTAGAAATCTGTTGAGGCATTGAAGGATGCCATACGCGAAAAGGCCTGGGATCATCCATCGATTGAATTGTCCTGCTTCGTTTGATATATCACGGTCTTGACCACAAGCAATGAGAATTGTGCTGGTGTTGAACCATATCAGTAAAAGCAAAATGCTCAACGAAAGAAGAACGAGCATTGCTCTTTGTGTGTAAATGCCAAGCATATGGTGTTGCTTAGCTCCATACGCTTGCCCACATAGTGTTTCCAGTGCACTTCCCATTCCTAACTACCAAAAAAATCGTGAAAATCAAGGAATGAAACTTCGAGATAAGAAAGGAACTAGCTCCCAATTAGCTCATTCAGGCACAAAGATGAACTTGTCTATTTTGCGAGTTCAACTGAACCTATTACTTTACACTCGAACTATGTATACTTATAACAAAAAAAGGGAATTCCTTATCTCTAAGTGCGATTCGAACTATTGATTTACGTAATTGGAACTATTAGTTTTGCAACAACCAAAAACTATAAATCCATCACTAATTTAATTTGAGTACCTCTGTAGGATAAACCTCAACACGAAATGAAGAGCAACAACATCAAGTGATTGAGTTAATTAGTTCGTCATCTAAAAATTATCAACCCCGGAGATATAGTAATAATTATAAGTAGACAAAATTGTTTCAAGCACCGAAATCAGACACATCAATCATACTATAAATCCACTAACTCTTAATCATGGATTCACCTCTATTCGAGCTGTGCACAAATCGAATCAATAACCATTCAACATGATTTGAACAAACAATAGCAAAATGACACATGTTGTCACATTTTTTAATCCACTAACTCTACATCATGAATTCGCCTCTATATATTTAGTTTTATCTACTTTTTTTTAACATCACGACACCCCTCCATAAAATTCCTAGCTTCGCTGCTATGTGCAACATACAAATCCAATCAACAACCATCAATTTGAATCCACTAACTCTAGATCATGAATTCACCTCTGTACATATAGTAAACTCAACTTTTGTTTTATTTTTTTAAATATTACGACACTCCTAGTGAAAATCCTGGCTCCGCCACTGCTGATGAAACATACATATCCAATCAATAACCATTCTAAGATGATAAATTGAACAAACAATAGTCACTAACAAAAAAGAAGTTAACTTACCAAAACACTGAATCCAGTGACTGAAGCAAAAGAAGTAGCCATAGAAGCACCAGAGAGAGACAATTCACCCAAATGACCAACAAACATGATGCTAATAACTTGAAGACAATATTGCAGAATATTAACTGCTATTAGAGGTACAGCAAGTCTTAATTGCCTCTTAATTTCTTCAATAATTGTAGTAGTGTTATCAAAATCATGGCTTGTTTCTTGATTTAACAATAATGGAACTTGTGGACCTTCCATTTTTTTTTGTTGTTGAATCAAGAAAGTAAAAGGAATCTTAATCATCATTTTATTGGATGACCCTTAGTATACATTTGGACAAGGATTTATCATATTATAAAATTGTGGGGTTCCTATCATATATAGAGATCTCTTTCGTTTTCGTTTTATTTTATGTGATATTGTTTAATTAGACATAAAATTTTGTTATATTTATAAAAATTATTGTAAAGTAGGAATGATAAATTAAATAGTCATCAAACAAGGAAATTGTGACATTCTTTTTTAGACGGATTAAAAAGAAAATAATATGATATAGATTAGTATGAACGAGATAATATATTTTTATAGATTATACTTTCGTTTGTAAATAGATATATAAGACCGATATAATATAATATCGTATCATATTTGTGTTAGATATGGAGTAATAAAAATATCTTTAAAAGTTATTTGTATGTCAAAAAGATATTGAGTTTAGTTATTGTGTCGATAATAACAATAATATATATAGTGAAAGAAATTTTGGTTGGCTAGAATAGTGTACGCTGATCTTATGATTACCTCATGAATGTAGAAATTGTTTTCAAAAGGTCCTGAATTCAAGTGTAACAATTTCAAAAATAAAGAAAAGGAAAACAATGAAGAGAACTTAACAACAAAAATATGAATAAACATAACAGTGCACTAGTCGAAACACAATAAACAGATGATGATAAATATCAAAAACTAGAATCACAAAAATATAGCTACTACAACGACATATACCATGCTCTTGAAAGTAAGACAACACTCTACTACCTACTAATCTTTTACTCTAATACACAATCTCCGTACCTTTCTATTTAAGATCATGTCTTTGGTAATTTAAAATTGCGTCATGTCTTGTCTAATAATCACCCTCTTTAATATTTTTCGGCCTACTTCTCTCTTTGATCGTGCTTTATGCATTCAAGCCTCTCGCACCTCCTTAGTCGATAGTGTATACATCTCTATTTCACATGTCCAAACTATCAACCTCGTTTCCCTCATCTTGTTTACCATAGAGGTCACTCCTATCTCCTCCCGAATAACCTCATTTCTAATATTATCTCTCATCGTATGCCCACACATTCATCTCAACATCCTCATTTTCGCAACATACATCTTATGAATATGAGAGTTTTTAACTGACCATCGTTCTACCCCATACAACAAACGTTCATCTATCTATACTCCATAAAACTCTCGTGTTTAGAAGACTCCGAAGGCAAGTCTCCTCTTCATTCATGCCGGCCTAATACGATGTGTGATATCATCATCAATTTTCATATCAATATTACAATGTCAATAGTATAATAGTTTTTTTTATTATTATTTACACAATATTATATTTATTTTAGCATTAATTTTATTAATTTACAATAATATTTTATTAATGATTGATTTAGTAAAAATAAGGACTTCCAAATTATTCGCCAAAAAAGTTGGAATAAAAGCCAAAAAAAAAAAAAAAAAAAAATTAAAAAAATGCAAATTCTCTTCGTTTTTTCAGCAGAGTAAAAACAGTAAACGGATCTCACACACACACACAGTGGGCTCTTGTTAAATCACCTCTTCACATTTCAAAACAAACCCTAGCTGTCCTTTTTTTTCACTTTCTCTCTCTACTCTTTCTCTCTCTACACTTCCATGGCTTCCCGGAGGCTTATCGCCTCTCTCCTCCGTTCGTCGGCTCAACGCGGTGCCGGCAGCGGTGGTGGTCCAATTTCCCGATCATCAGTAGCAAACTCCATTGCTAGACCTGCTTCACGCGCATCCCCTAAAGGATTCCTCTTAAACCGTGCTGTACAGTACGCTACCTCTGCAGCAGCTCCGGCCTCTAAGCCATCAACACCGCCGAAGTCATCTGGTAGTGAAGTTAGTGGAAAAATTACAGATGAGTTTACAGGTGCTGGTGCGATCGGGAAGGTTTGTCAGGTTATTGGTGCTGTGGTGGATGTGAGATTTGATGATGGATTGCCTCCAATTCTTACTGCTCTTGAGGTGTTGGATAATCAGATCCGACTTGTGCTTGAGGTTGCTCAGCATTTGGGTGAGAATATGGTTAGGACTATTGCTATGGATGGTACTGAAGGACTTGTTCGTGGTCAACGTGTGCTTAATACTGGCTCTCCTATCACCGTGAGTGATCAGAATTCCTTATCGTTTGTTTTTTTTCATATTCAAATGTTCATACTTTACTTATTTAAAAATTGCATTTTTTTATCTGAAGGGTCTAAACATGAATATATAATATACATTGTTGAAAGTGCTTTCAGATCTTAATGCATAGTTCACAAAACTGCAATACGGTTGAATCATCTAATGTAATAGTTATCTGCTTAGGAAGATAAATCATTGATCAGTCGATCACACTTCAATCCCAAGTTAGTTGGGGTACTTTCCTGTTACATTTGGCACATTGCATCCGAACACCTTCTGAGAGTTTTGGAACGTACCTATACTTATCCTTGTGATTTGTTGTGAGAGTTTTGGATGTTGAATTCATTTTTGCTCAGGATTTAGTGTTCAGTTTGAAAGAGACTTGGCTCTGTTAAGCGGTAGGAGTTTATTACCATGGGAGTGGATCACTCATGTGGCACTGTTAAGCTGTAGGAGTTTACTACCATGGGAGTGGAGTGCTCATGTTTCCTTATGATCACCAGAAGACATCCGTCACTCATGTTTCCTCGCATTATTTTGTTTTTTTCTTTTAGAATTTGTGGTGCGGTATGGTGACTGTGCTTTGGCTTCGTTGTAATGGTATCTTCCGATTGTTGTTGTTTTTAGTATCTTCATTTTGGCTGCCTCCTGTCTTGTACAAGTTTTCCTTGTATAACAGATTGTTTACGTTTAGTTGAGCTTGGACATATTTAATTTGTTTTGAGCTTGATGGTTTGCCTTTCTTGTGATGACAGGTTCCTGTCGGTCGATCCACACTTGGCCGTATCATGAATGTCATTGGAGAGGCAATTGATGAGAGAGGCCCAATTAGTAAGTCAAAATTTCCATGGATACGCCGTATTCTAATTTATCCATTGGACTAAAGTTTTAATCTATCCATAAGAATGGTTCTGATAATTGCATCTTAATCTGTAAAATGGTTACAGCAACCGATCACTTTTTGCCAATCCATCGTGAAGCTCCTGCCTTTGTTGAGCAAGCCACTGAACAACAAATTCTTGTCACTGGTATTAAGGTACTTGCTTCAATTCTTATTTTCTTGGGCAGTATATTTTTGCACTCCATCCAAATGCTGCCTGCATTCACTAATGATTCCTCTGCTACTGCCTTTAACTGAACTTAATAATGACGACTATTCTATCATTATTGTGCTTTTGATCAGGTTGTTGATCTTCTTGCACCATACCAAAGAGGAGGGAAAATTGGTCTGTTTGGTGGTGCTGGTGTTGGCAAAACTGTGCTTATTATGGAGCTTATTAACAATGTTGCCAAAGCACATGGTTAGGATTGGTTTCTTTGTACCTCATTATATACGTCATATAAAAGTCACTGCAAAGCTGATCCGTTGGATGACTTGACTATACAGGTGGTTTCTCTGTTTTTGCTGGTGTTGGTGAGCGAACTCGAGAGGGTAATGATTTGTACCGAGAAATGATTGAAAGTGGTGTCATCAAGCTAGGCGAGAAGCAAGTTAGTTTAATCAAAATTATGTTCCATACATCTTTATCTCATATTGTTTTTATCCTTGCATTGCTGACATATTATGATCTCAAACTATTCAGAGTGAAAGCAAGTGTGCGCTTGTATACGGTCAAATGAATGAGCCCCCTGGTGCTCGTGCACGTGTTGGACTTACTGGTTTGACAGTTGCTGAGCACTTCCGAGATGCCGAGGGGCAGGATGTGCTTCTCTTTATTGACAATATTTTCAGGTTTACTCAGGTAGGCATATCTTTTAAAGTCCATGTATAAATTTGCTTATTTTGTAAACCTGACTGTGGCACTATCTGCATCTTGTATTGAAATAGGCTAACTCAGAAGTGTCTGCTTTGCTTGGTCGTATCCCATCTGCTGTGGGTTATCAACCAACTTTGGCTACGGATCTTGGAGGTCTTCAAGAACGTATCACCACGACCAAGAAAGGTTCTATTACGTCCGTCCAAGCTATTTATGTGCCTGCTGATGACTTGACAGATCCTGCTCCCGCTACAACCTTTGCTCACTTGGATGCCACAACTGTCTTGTCCCGTCAGGTATAATGCCATTGTTTGATCTGGTGCTGTAATTTTATTAACTTTCACAGTTGATGGAGTACATTTAACTTTGGTCATCACATTTCTTTTTGGATGCCAGATTTCTGAGCTTGGTATCTATCCTGCCGTCGATCCACTTGATTCTACATCCCGTATGCTCTCACCTCACATTTTGGGAGAGGATCACTACAATACTGCCCGTGGAGTGCAGAAAGTTCTTCAAAATTACAAGAATCTTCAAGATATTATTGCCATTTTGGGTATGGATGAGCTTAGTGAAGATGATAAGATGACTGTTGCCCGTGCACGTAAAATCCAAAGGTTCCTCAGTCAGCCTTTCCACGTTGCTGAAGTTTTCACTGGTGCCCCTGGAAAGTATGTCGACTTGAAGGAGAGCATCAACAGTTTCCAGGTAATTAATCTCCTCAATCTTCAACTTATTTGTCAGTTTATATTCATTGTCATTTGAACTTTAAAATATGAGATTATTGTATGTTTGTTGCATCTATTTGTTGTATGGAGGCTTTCTCATGCTGCTGGTCTGCCATGTGACTAGAAGTTCCTTTTACCTTTCCTCTCTATTGTATGTGATGAGCTACTGAATTTATTAGTTGCTCTCACATTATCATACATGTTATAGAACCTCTTTGACATGTTAAAATCTTTATTATTCATGTGATGCAACTTTTCCTGCTTAACTGCTGATAATTAGAGTTGAGCATCTGCCATTACTTACCCTTGTCTACTGCAAGGATGTGCAATGCTAGTATGTAATTGACCTTCTTCCTGGTTTTTATGATGCTGATGAATGTTTTTTCCAAATCTTCGCAACTACCCCCCTCCAAAAAGAGAGGACCTCCCCCCCCGCCCCCCTTTTTTTTGCCCTTGATTGAAGATTGTCAACTACTTTAGTACCTTCTTTTTAATTTGGTCCTATGTTGATGAACTCTTTGTTAATATTTTTTGACAGGGAGTATTGGATGGCAAATACGATGACCTTTCAGAGCAATCGTTTTATATGGTTGGTGGTATCGATGAGGTCATTGCCAAGGCAGAGAAGATTGCAAAGGAATCTGCAGCCTAGATAGATTATAAAAATCTGTGACTTTCTTTTGTTCTCTTCACCAAAATAATTTAGTTTGTGACATTTTGGTTCTTTTTTTGGGAGGGCCAAGGGGTCCTTAATCTACTTTTTGTTTCATCTTTCCAAACGCGGGATTGTTATAGAGAGACATGCTGCAGCCAAAGACGTTGTCGCCAAACCCCCTGCTCTGTTATGTCACATAATAAGGGGGTTATATATGGCGAACTTGTATATGTTACTTTCATGTCTTTTTTTCGAGAATTTTTGATGCTCCAATTATCAAATGTCTTCTAAACAATATGTTCTTTTTTCCATTTATTCTTTCCTTGTTGCAGTGATCATCTTATCTAAACTATCTACACTTTGGGTGTTTTAATAAGTCATTTATCTCCAGTAATATTTGCTATTCTTCTTTAAGAGTTGTACTGATTTTCTGGACATGTGTGTTGGTGTAGCCAGCTTCCTGTGACTTCCCTAAGTATGTTTCCATAGATGCTATCTAGTTGATTCACATTGTGATTTCGGAAGTATAGAAAACACCAGTAAACTTAAAATTTGTGTTCGGATGATGTATTCACATGTTCAATCTCTTTTTAGTGGTTTCTTTAGATATTTTTATAACTAATGCAACTTTATTTTGATTCAACTTACTAGTTTTGTTTCTGATTGTGAATCATTGACAGCCTTTTTAGTTTGTACCAATTGCCTTAGTTCGTATCCCCATACGTTCTTAATAAGATGAGATGAATGTGTTCTTCAATTATACTCATATATTCCATCAATATTTTCGCATAAATTGAGACATAAAAATTACGTTTATGGACACCACGATTATTTTAAAAGCAAAAATATTAAGAAAGGAAACGACTAGAAAAAACCCAATCTTTACTTGTCACCCTCACCCCTTCTCTTATACAAGACTTTCCCATTAAGCAAAATCACAACTTCCATTTTTTTCTTCAATTGACTTATATACACATCACAGTAGTTCCACCGTTTAACAATGGCAGCACCGTCGTCAATGACGGCGAAAACAGCCAACGTCATGCTAACAATCCCGGAGAAGAAAACTGTATCTCTAGATCTCTACCGTCCACTCAGAAACTACATAGTCTACAATTACTCTGAACGCGAAGCTCAAAATCTCGAAGATGATCTTCAAACGCTTAAGCAATTCCGTTCCGATATCGAACGTGGCCCTAATGAGTCATCTCTTCCTGCTCGCCGTGATCTTTTGCAGAATTACTATAAAGCCCTTTGTGCTGTTGAGTCTCGTTTCCCTATTTCACCTGATCATGACCATATTAATTCTGTTACATTTACTTGGTATGATGCTTTCAAGAACAAGCTCAAAGCTGCTCAGCAGAACATCTATTTAGGTATTTCCTGCAGCTTTGTTCAGTTTTTTTTTTGAATTTTGTGTACTTATGTTCTAATTTGTCTGCTTGTTGATTGTACAATTAATAATGCCTGGGATACAGCTTTTTATTGCGTGCATTTACTCTTAACTTCTAAAGTTGCCTACTTTCCCTTCACTATGTGCTTTTTGTTGTTCACTTGCGCTTAGCTTCTACATTGGCCTCGTTTCCCCTTTTATTTTTTCAAGTCTTCAGCATCTTCATTCATTTGGGTCTTAAATTTTGCATCTTTTGTGGTCAGTCCTTGCTTTGTTAGTTTCATAGTGTAGTTGATGTTGTATAGATAGGGTATAGCTTTCCATTGCTATGCACTTGCTATGAGCAGATACATTGGTGTCCCGTTCTCTTTTCTGGAAAAACTTATCTAACCATCATTGAAATTGGAGGTGGTGAAGATGCTTAGGGAATTTGCTCTTGCTATGGATAAACATTAGTCCAGTACTGTCTGGAAATTAATGATTGTTCCCGTTGGCCCGGGTGACTACTAGCTTTAAGTGTATTATCAATCAACTATACCTCGCTCCTAGAATAGATAAGGTTGGCTATATGAATCCTATGTAGGTTGGACATGTCCCAACAAATTTCTTATTCAAAGGATTCATTATAGTTGAACTTCTTTTATGCTAACCGTTATTCTACCACAGCCTTCATTTTTTTTATCTGTGCTTGAGAGTAGTTATGTCTAGCGTAGGAAGTGTTTTGAATACTTATTTGCTGCCTAAGCCTTAATGAACAGTAAACACAGCCATTTCTTCACACAAATTGGCTATATTTACCTACTAGTAATTAAAAACATGGTGATATTTGTCACTTGGTAAGGAAAACAGGGGTAAACTAGTTTAATTATTACGAGTTTGGAGAAATCAATGTTAAGCTCGGACTATTGTCATCTTATCATACAGTTCTACTGATCCTTCTCTATTTTTTTTGGGGGTGTCCACAGAAAAAGCTGCAGTTTTGTTCAATCTGGGGGCAGTTCACAGTCAGATGGGATTGGGTTTTGATCGTTCATCAGTTGAGGGGAGAAGACAAGGATCACATTCTTTTATTGCTGCTGCTGGGGCATTTGCCTTTTTGAGAGACAATGTGGCAATGAAAGCATCAATGGGTAGCTCCAACACTGTTGATGTCTCTGTCGAATGTGCTGGGATGCTGGAAAGACTCATGTTGGCTCAGGCTCAGGAGTGTGTTTTTGAGAATAGCATTGCCAAGGGAAATACTCCTGGTGTCTGTGCAAAGATTTCAAGACAGGTTCATTTTTCTATTTCTACGCTTAGACTATGCCACTCCATAACTGCTGTATGAGATTTACTCAAAAAGAAAAAAAACTTATCCGTGAGATTTAGTTGAGTTCTTGACACCAGTCACATTGCTATACAACTTTTGTTCTTAGATAGCTCAAGTGAGTTAGTACTTCTACTTCTCTTTATTAGAATCTTCCTAAGATTTTCTTAAGGTAATAATTTAGTCCATGATAGATAAAGACCACTAATTTTTACATTTCTATCGAAAATCTAGTCAGCTTGGAAAGCTCCTATGGGCTGTAAAAATTTGTTTTGTTAATATCCACATTCTATATTAGTAATAAATAGTGACAATCCTCCAAGTTCCTACATGTAATGAGGCTTGGATTGTAGTTTGGTTGAATAACCTCATGTATAAATTATATTAGACTATTCTACAGGTATGGCATATGCAGCTTGAGAATTAGGGTTTGGTGAGAACGACTTCATATATTTGTTCTTTTTGAATTTTGATATGAATGCTGTATAGTTCACTGAAGAAGGCATGTCCGAGTTGGTTTGGCTAGTTCCTTCAGATATTGGTTCTTAGTTAATTACACATGTTATTTCCAGTAGATGGCATCTCAACACGTATTGTTTAGCTTATAAGTTATAAATTATCAAATTTGACCAAACCAGTGGAGTTTATTTTGGGTCTTACTTTAGTGGTTGGACGTTGCAATAAATGCAAAATTGATGTTAAAATGAAATGAATGCCTCATCACAGGTTGGATTGTTTTATGAGGAAGCTTTGGCAGCATTAAATGTTGCACCTCTGAACCAGCACTTTGACAAGGCTTGGCTAGCTCATGTTCAGCTTAAGGCATCACTGTTTTATGCTGAGGCCTGCTACAGGTACAGTCTAGAGCTCCATGACAAAGAAGAAATAGCAGAGGAAATTGCAAGGTTGAAGAGTGGTGTTAATGCCTTGTCTGGGGCAAGAAAAACATCTCCAAGGGGTGCACCGCAGCAGCTCTTGGATGCAATTACTAAGCTAGAAGCTAGTTCAAATCTAAACTTGGAGAAGGCTATTAAGGAAAACGACAGAGTCTACCTCATGAGGGTTCCACCAGCCAGTTCACTGCCACCACTTGCAGCATTTTCCTTGGTCAAGCCTATGCAGATGAATGATATTCTGGATGCAAGCAAAGAGAAGATGTTTTCCAGTCTTGTCCCAGACAACAGTACAAAAGCTCTTTCTAGGTACACTGAGATGGTTGATGATGTCATCAGGACTCAAACCGAGAAGTTACAACAGGGGAGTGAGCTAGCTCGAGTGAGGCTCAGAGAAATGGACTTGCCTGATTCTATTCTGGCCTTGGAGGGAAATTTATCACTACCTGCGGCTCTAAAAGAAGATGTAGAGGCAGTGCAAATTTGTGGTGGTCCAGCTGGTTTGGATGCCGAGATGCAGCAACTCAGAGATCTGAAGAGGGTGAACCAGGAGTTGCTGGTCCAAACAGAGGAGCTTTTGCAAAAAGAAGCAACGGAAGATACACAGTTTAGAACTCAATTCGGAACCCGATGGACAAGGCCTCAATCTACTACCTTAACAAAAAACCTGCAGGATAGGTTAAACAGGTTTGCAGCAAACCTGAAGCAAGCTGCAGAAAGTGATGCTAGGATTGAGCGATCAGTTAGGGATCATGCAGCACTCATGTCAATCCTTGACTGTCGTCCAGTACGTATTTATGATTTGGACCTTATTTTGCATAACTAGTCATGTCATGTCTCATTGTGCCACTTCTAGTTGACACCTGGGTTTGTCATGGGCTTTACTCATCAAGGATATAATAATCAAATGCTCTGGCTCTTGGATTTATTTGTAGATATGTTGTATTAGGTGTTACTTCTAAGGACAAGTATCAAACCTATCTGGTAATGAAGATGGTGAATTAGATTAGTCTCTTTGACAAGCTTATATCACCACGAGCTTAATAAGATGTTCAATGCTTCTATACCATATAATTTGTATCTTCTCTCATGGTTCACTTCCAAGGATTTTCAACAGGTTTAATGCATACTAGATTTGGAGCCCTTGATCCTTAAATTTTGATTTCATTTTGAAACTTGGCTCAGTCTGTTGCTATTTATCATGTATGTCATGTTATTGTTGCAAAGATATTTCATCATCGGATCTAGAGCTTATCAAATACAATGTGATAACACTTCTATTTCTCTCTGTGATATCTGTCTATTGATGTCCTGAGATCTGCATTTTTCTCTTTGATAGATCGAATCTGCTCTTCCAACCTTGGCAAGACCAATCTTGTCTTTGGACGCCACTGAAGATGCCATTGTGGGAGCCCTGAAGCAGAGCCTGGTAACAATGAATTAGTGTGGTTATATTTGCGTTATTTGGTCTTTCTGTGTTCCTTAGACCTTAGTTAGCGGTTTATGTTGCAACATGTTTCTTGAGTGACTAAAGCCTGTTCTGTTGGAAGGCCTTACAGGCCAACATATATATCATCTCCCTTTTTTTTTGGGGTTGGTGGGTGGTGGTGGGGTGAGTGGGGATGAAAGCATAACTTGTTTCCTTTTGAGAAGTGTGTAAATTTTTTCTGATGACATTTTTCTGCTTTTGTTTTTTTGTCACAAGGAGATAAAGTGAAACTTGATGTCATTGTGCATTACATATACTTTATTAGTGAATATTAATAATATTTATTAGTGAATACTGATTAAAAACGTTGGAAAATATTTTATTTCTTGAGCAACCTTCATGGATGATTTTTGAGCACTAGCTGCAGATTATTTCTAGTTTGAAATTCCTATAATCTCATTTTGTGATTGATAGGTGGTCTTTGAATAGTAAATTAGAAGGTGATTTTATTATGCAGTCATTTTTGGATATTAAGTAACGTAATATTTAGTATATTGTGCATGTCACTTAAAATCACGGAAGGAAATTGTCCGTAAATATTTGGATATATGAACTGTAGAAAGGCACTTCAGAACTTCACTCCAATCTGTTTTACAAAGAACTATATGTCCTGTTTCAATGTAGAAGCTTTACAATGTTGCAACTTAAATTATTTTAGTGGTCTCCTTCAAGTCATTGTTGCTTATATTTCAGAGGCAACTGGAAACTCTTGGTGCTCAGCGTGCCGGTCTGGAAGATGTGCTGAAAGAGATGAAGAGGAAGGTATAATAAGATTCCTCTTAAAATATGATCTGCCAAGTTGAATTCTATTAGGTAGAGTTGGACTTCTTTTTGGGAGTAAAGCTTTAGCCATCTTTGGTTTATTCTCATTGGAGGTTGGACAAGTGTTACATATTTAACCCGAGCAGGTGATGAAGATATAATCCTTTGCTAGTGCACATCCTCTTATTATGCTGCTCTGTAGTAATTGAGTTTATTAACATGATATTAATAAGATGAGTTCATACTTCAATGATATGAGCCATGGATAAACATATTTTGGCATGAAAACTCACTATTGACCATTGCCACCCTGAATGAATCTTTGGATTAGCGGGTTTATTCTGTTCAGGTTGTTCCACCGGTGGATTGGATTTTTTTCCATGGGTTTCATATGTTCTTATCTTATTGATGAGTGGAGGGGCAGGAGCTGCAGTAGTAGTAGCAATATGCCCTTCAATGTACTAGGAGGAATGAGGCCCGCTCACTTAATAATTCTGTTAGAATGTCCCATGTTTGTTGAGGTCTGAGGGAATGAAAAATTGTCTCCTTGTATGATTCTGAGCAATCCTCACCTCATAGCTAGCTTTTGGGGGTTGAGTAAAGCCCATGTTTCATTTTCTGTACGTGTTATCTAAGTCAGAATTATCTCTCTTCTTGGATTACCTAATATTGTGCCGCATTCTTTATTGTTTACGCTCCAGATCCACCTCTGAGCTTTCAGAGGGTGGTAGAATGTCCCGCCTAGGAGAGGGAAAGAGATGTTGTCTCCTTTATAAATTTGGGTAATCCTCACTTCATATGCTAGTTGTTGGAACTGAGTTTGGTGTAGGATCCATTTGCTTTACAAATTCAAATGGATAGTTCGATTACATCATATCAAGTGAAGCTTTTCATTAAATTGAGAAATTGTTGGGTGGGGGAAGGAGGTTATTTTGTCATGGAGCTTGATAATATCTATTAGTTATGTCTCAGAATGTGATCTTGCAACTTCCATTCCCTAGGGAAGTCAAAAATAATTTTTTCAGAGTATATGAAAAAGAGGGATAGATTGGACCCTTTTAAAAAAGAGCGGTTACAAAGTTTACACTACTCCTCTGGTATTAGTTGCTGGTCTTCATCATATCAGGAGCAGATAACATAATATGAATTTGCCTTTGTGCTAAGTTAACATTTTCGTAACCACATGCAACATGCTTATTTCTTTTAGCATTTTCTTTGCCTCTGCTTCATCATCAAGGGATCTAAAGACACAACTTCATTTTGTATCTGTTGTGTGATATTACTCAGGATGATATACTTCCAAAATTGATGACATTCACGGGCTCCCAGGAGGATCTTTTCAGGAAGGAGATAGCAAAATATGATCATCTTTGTGAAGAAATTTCTCAAAACCTCGAGGCACAAGAACAGTTGCTTCTGCAAATTCAGGTTCAGAATTCATTTGTTTTTCAGGGCTATACCTTTTTAGTTTTGCTGCACTTTTTCATTTCAACTTGGGAGCTTCTCTTAAGCTTTAACTTAGGAATACTTGTGTGGTACATGTGAGGTTGTGTCTGTTGCACAGTTCTTAGTAGGAGTTCCTTTATATATTACCATATTGCTAGCTTCAGGATTGCTCTGCAGAATACAATTTATAGGTAACGAAGCGAGGGATGCAAGGCATTTCCCTTTTTTGTTTCTTCTAATCCTTTCTGTCATCTCCTGGAGTTTGTTTTCAACTATGATTCTCTATTACTTTTTACGCTTTCCAACACGGGAAGTTGCATTTTTTTTAATCTGGAAAGCGTTGCAGATGTAATATAATGACATCTGTTGCAGAGCAGTGGTGGAGCCTGAATCTAGCGAAGGGTGTGCTAATTTTCTTGTTTGTAATATTAGGAGCGTGCAAAATTAGATACATACTCGCCTAAGGTGGCTCCAACACCTAATTTTTGGCAAAGGGTGTGCACTGGACCACCCTTCGCCTTAGGTGGCTCCACCCAATATGCGGAGTCCAACGTCAGGCTCTTATGGGATGTGTGGTGTGCACTGGACCACCCTTCGCCTAAGGTGGTTCCGCCGTAGTTCAGCATCAGTCTATTATGGGATGGGTGGTCTTGGTATATGGTCTTTGGCAATTCACCTCTTGAGCTAGCTTATGGGGTTGAGATAGACCCAAGATCCATTGCTTTACATGGTATCAGCGCATCCCCGTTCTTGTTAGCCAATGTTGGATCCCCATATTAAAAATTGCTGTAACTCTAGATATCCAGCCTTGCGCGTGGTGGTGGTGGGGTGTCGAAGATTCCCACATCAGGCTTTTATGGGATGGGTGGTCTCTTTATATGGTTTGGACAATTCTCATCTCTTGAGCTGACTTTCGGGATTGCATTAGGCCCAAGATCCATTTTTTTACAATATTCTTAATTGGGATATCACCCATGGCATGCTCTTTTTTGTTCCAAATTTTTTTAAGCTACTACTTTGTATCTAGAAAGTGTTAACAAGAAATGTTTGGTTTGGGGGGATGGGGGATGGGTAAAGAAGTTCATAGCATGAGTGTTATTTCATTAATTGCAGTTATATTTGTGGTATTTCTTTTCTTACTTGATACTTGTTGTTTCATAGCATGAGTGTTATTTCCTGTGATTTGCATGTCATAATTAGCGCCTGAAATGAGTTTATATGGAATAATTTGGTCAAAGAAGATTTATTTAGCCGACACGAACTTATTTGGGAGTGAGGTGTAGTTATATTTTTGGGAATTAGGAGTTGTAGTGCACAATTATTGCTTAGCCAAAGCACTGTATTCCTTCAGACCACAATTGCTTCATGTTGAGTTTCCTTGGTGCAAACATAGAGAAGAAGTCCATCTTGGAACAATCTATTTGGGCTTGACTTCATTATTCAAGCTACATCTCCCTGAATGCTCTTTAACAAGGTGGTGTTCCTTTTGCAGGCTCAAAATGATGAGTTTGCTTCTATTTTCAATCTTGAAGACTATAAAGGTGTGTTATTTAATTCCTATAATCATTTTGCAATGTCTGCTGGAGAACAATGAAGCTTAGATATTCTAGATACACAAAGATCTTCTGTCCCTAGAAACTTAGGTGGGCTAAATTTTGATGGGCTGATCCTTTCAGTCAATTTTTGCATATCAAAATGACTTCTTACTGCTCATTATGTGTCCTGTGGTATACTCGAAGTAAGTTAGGTCTCTTGATGAATGATGTCATTTTCAAGGGATGCTGCAGTTATCAGTTATAATATAAAATTGACTTGATTAAGTGCTGTCCAGCCCTTACAATCAATGTTGGCCATTTATCATCTGCATTTTCTACTAGTTTAAATCTAATTTGTCTACATTGAATTTTCTTCTCGGGTGGCTTATTTATATTTCTTCTAGTACGGCTGCTGATTTTAGATGTTCTTCTAGTTGCCGTTAATTTGCTAAGCTCATTCTTCTCGATGCCACAGTTTCCCGCGAGAGAATCTATAAGCAGATTGAAGCTGCCATTATGAAATATCAAGAAATCAAGGAAAATATCAATGAGGGATTGAAGTTTTATGTAACCCTTCAGGTATGAGAATTTTCAACTCTTTTGAGATGGCTCTTTCTATTGGAGTGGTTTGGGAGGGGGTGGAGAGATAGGAATATTTGCTCACCTAGTTCACAACACAAGAAGGATTCCAACTATTCACTTTCAGTGGAACCTCTGAGCATATTCCACTTTGTGATATAGGATCATTTGTGTCCTAGATAAGATATTTTGTTGGGAGAAGAGGAGGCTGGGGTGGGATAAAATGAGCTAGAATAGAGTCAGTGATTCCTTTTGGTTCCATGGAATTATAATGCAATTGGCTTGTATTTCTTGGACCTATTTTATCCCGTTGAGAGGATTGAGGTGTGACAAATCCGTGGGTTACATTTTGAATGGGGTAGGATTGGGATTGTGACAATTCCATCTGATACATTATTATTCCTCTCACTCCATCTCCCCTGCCTTTGGCTTTACTGTGCAGTCCTTTACCAGGTCCACCAATAAAGAAATTATCAAGGTGAATCATTATAAGAACAATCTGAGTTGTAATCTCTCATCTAATCCATGAATTACGCACAATAGTAATTTATACAATCCCATCCCTCTAATCTCACCAGAAATCTGTCATTACAATCACATTCTTGATTTTCACTCTAATTCAACTGTATGATAATCTACCCGCATATGTGCAAAGTCAAAGAACCCCTTTGGATCTTCTCATATAAGCCTAGCCATTGATGTCAAAGCCCCAGTACTCCTGCAAATCTGGCAACGATCATTCAAAAATTGACTAACCTCATCTGCTAAATGGTTGTATTTGCTTAGTTTCTTTGGTATGAGTCTTGGGTTGAGCCTTGTCAGGGATGGGAACTTGTAGATGAAAGTTGATTTCTGCACTTCAAATATTCATTTTAGTTGTGCACAGTGGGATAGATCACTAGTCTTATTCCAGTTCTTCCTGAATATGTCTGAGCTTCTTGGATCTATCTACAAATTTCTAGTATATGAATTCGTATAAATTTGTCTTTTGTTGCACAGGAGGCTATCACTAATGTGAAACAGCAATGTAGTGATTTTGTGATGACAAGAAACATGCAGTGCCGAGAAATGATTGAAGATGTACAGAGGCAGATCTCAGGTCTCAGTTTCCAGGATAATAAGAGTTCAAGTGGGTATACTTATCCTTCAGTCGGGCATGCTCATCAGCCTCCAAGATCCAATCCCCAGATGCCAACCGAAACTGGACATATACCCAGTCCTTCTCGACCACACCAGGCTCCTACATACCAGCCTCCTCCTCAGCAACCTACAATGTCGGGATATAGTCAAACTTCTCCTCCTTATAGTTCTCCACAACCGCCTGCACCCCCTGCTCAGCAACCAACAATGTCTGGATATACTCAAACCTCTCCTCCTTATAGTTCTCCACAACCGCCTTACGGTTTTCCAGGTCAAGGTCAAGGTCAACCATATTCGCATCCACAGCCGCATCCTCAATACCAACAACAACCTCCACCTAGCCACGAGTACGGCCAACCTGCATATCCTGGTTGGAGGGGTCCATACTATAATGCACCTCCACAGCAACCCGGAGCTATGCCTCAGCCTCCTTACACAGCCCCTTCTCCATATCCTCATCCTCCTCCCCATCAGAGTGGCTATTACAGGCAATGATAATAATTTTCTCAGTGTGCTCTCATGTTCATCTTTTTGTTGTTCTCAAGTCGACGGGACCGGACGTAACGAGACTTCTTTGTTGTACAAGGTCTTAGCATACATTGTTATACATTTGTAAGTAAGTTTGAATGAAGCACCTATGTACAGGGTATCTCCTTGTAAAATTGATGATCAAAACTACAAGATCAATAATTTTGGAACTCTATGAGATCTGATATCTCGTGAATGTAAGAAGAAAATATGAACTTATTCTTTTTGGGTCTATTTGTTGGTCTTGCATACACCAAAAAGTAATTTAATATGCCACCCGTTAAAAGTTTGTTTGAAATATGTCATGGAATTTTGACAAAAAATTCATCTATATCATTTCTGTTTGAGAAAAGAAATTTATCCGTGCGATATGAATCAAAGTCAAATTTAGTCGATATTATTAGTGGAACAAAATATCCTAGTTCTTTTGCTGTGTACAAAACTGTTCAGAATTTTAGAGCTTATTCTAAAAGTTATGGTAATTTTTTACACTTCTTTACTCCCATTTTGGCTATTTTATAAATGTTAAATCTTTTCATTTTTCTAGTGCATTTAATCACTTGTTTTTTTAACCATCTTAATTTGCAAGGATTTTTATGTCATGGGGTTTTGTAGTTTTTCCTATCATATTTATTACTTTCAATTTTCATATAGTTTGAAATAATTACGTTTTATATTGTTAATTAATAATTTTATACCAGATTTCAAGTTAGATACATTTGGATACATTCTTTTTGTCATTAGGTACAGTGAAATAGGGAGAGAAGCGAGGAAAATATTTGTGTCCTAGATGTATGTGGAACATACTAGATACACTGAGGTAAGAAGTGAGGCGATAGAAAACACGAGGGAGGCGAGTGAGATTTATCTATATCCTAGATATATGTGAGTCATCGAATATCTGGGATACTAGATATATAGGAGATAGGCGACCGAATTAAAATTTGTCTATATATCCTAGATGCATGCAAGTCCACTTAGATATAGTGTATCTAGAACAAATTACATCCAATTTAACTCCATGTATACTGAGATATACATATATTTAAACGTAGCTAGAGGTATCAAAATCTGATAATATTCGTAATATTGTAAACTAGCATATATCTAAGTAATTATATTGTGAAATTTATGTAAGTTTGCCTATTTATAAGTAACGAGTTATTATGAACTAACTCATAATGATTTATTATGATCACATTTATAGGATTTTCAGATGTAACCATTGCATGTTATGGTTTGATCATATGTTATTTTGTTACTTTTCATGTTGTTTTCGAACCTATATCAAATAAGAAAAGAAATAAAGACAGATTCAAGATTTAAATTTTCGTTTGTTTCGAAATCTTAGAGTAGAGGGTGGACTTATTGTCTTTCATGTTAGTAAGTTATCATGTTCATATATATCTTTTTCTATTTCTCATAATATTGCACATTTTGAACTATATATCAACACAATTTCTCTAAAAGGCCTAATATTTTTATCATTTTGGTTTCTTTTCAACAATTAAAAAAAAAAGGAAAATAATTAACTTTTACACTTTTTAATTTAATTCTTTATGAGAATATATTTTGTATGACCACACAATATATTATTATACGTTTAAAGTCATAAGTTTCAAAATTAAGTTTTTCGTCATACAAATTTTCTACATACATAAGTGTGAAAAGGGTTCAAGAATCAATTTTCTTTTTACATACGTACTTTGAATTAATTAATTATTTTAACTTTTTAAACTGATATTATAAGATGAATCTCGAAAGATAAAGAAAATTTATATATTTGATATTTTTTTAAGACTTTGAAAAATCTGCTAACCACCTTCTAAAAACAACATACTTCAAGAAAAAAAAGTTATAAATAAAGTGAATTAAAGTTAATAATAAAGTACAAATAGACAAAAAATTCTAGTAGTTGGCAGTAGCTTTATAATAATTAAATTATTTTTCTTAGGTCATATAATGCACTAAACTCGTGTGTTCTGTTTCATATTTTTAGCTAATTTTTTCTTATATAAATAAAACTTCACACCATATTTTATTTTCCAAATTAAAAGATATTAACACATTTACTTATAATGGAAAGAGTTAAAAAAAATCAATTTATTTTTGTTTCTTATTTTTTAGTAATTAATAGTATTATTAGTTGTGTTTTGGGATTTAATGTTCCTTCAATTTTTATTTTTGGTGACTCTATATTTGATGCTGGTAATAATCATTACAACAAAAATTGCACAGCACAAGCTGATTTTCCACCTTATGGTTCCAATTTTTTTCATCATCCAACTGGTAGATTTACTAATGGAAGAACTGTTGCTGATTTCATTTGTAAGTTAATTGTTATAATTCCCTCAATTTTTCGAAATTTTATGAGTCGTGGGTTCGATTTCCAATAGCAACATTCTGTACGAGGTAGGTGTTGGAATTTGGGAGGGGAATTGTAGGGTAATGTCAGTATCCTGTTTATGACAAGACAAGGCTCATGCGGGACTGGAGTGGTCCTGGTTCAGATCGGAGTCATGATCGAATGTAACGTTTGCTTGATGAATTTAATTAAAGAAGTTAGTTTTTTACTATTAACTATAATTTTTGGCATGTTGATAAACGTTTGATCTTTGATAGCAAGTTTAACTATTTAGCTTTAATATAAGATCATGTTGTTTTAAAATATAAACTAGAAGGGGGTTTAATTGAATTTTTTTTGTTCACAAAATTTGTTGAGTGTAAATAAAGTAAAAATAATAGTCTTTTTTTTTCTCCTTTTGTGAGGGTATATATAGATTAGCATGAGGGAAGTGTTTATTGTTACGTTAAAGATGGTTCGAAAATTTACAATTTCATGTAAGAGAATTTTATATTATTTTTAATTTTTTTAATAAAATTTCTGACTCTGTTACGTTTACGATGAAATATTGCAGCTCAATTTATTGGGATTCCTTTGCAAAGTCCATTTTTGGAAGCACAACTTGAGTTAATAAATGGAAGTAGAAAAAAGTATCCATCAAATGGCATTAACTTTGCTAGTGCTGGTAGTGGAGTTCTATCAACAACAAATCAAGATTTGGTAAGAAATCAATTAATTAAGGATGTATTAATTTATCATATAGTTTTTGTTTTATAATTTATTAATTTATTATGATTAAACACTAGGTAATAATCCAAAATATATAGGCATAAGACACACTCGTGTCCTCTTTATACTTTTGCTATTTATGTTTTTTAACTTTTAATATGCACAATTGGATACAGATGTTCTATGTGATATAATATAAATCAATTCATATCGTGCGTGGACACATAAAATGCCACATAAAAAATATATATATATATCTACTTGTTCAATAGCGATATATTTTTTCTTCTTTCTTTTTAGCTTTTTCTTAATACAACATATATATACACATGGTAAAAAAAATGAATATAAATAGCTTATTATGAGGTGCATAAATCTTTTGTAGAAATTGATCAACTCAACTATCATAATTAATTGATTTTGATCCCATATGCAAATTAATTGAAAGTGGTCGAGTACTTTCACTCAAAACAAATAATGCTAGTTTACTTTCTAAGTGTATAGCTTATTAGCTTTGATTTTATTTTCTTTTTACTCGTCGAGGATAATTTTTCTATACCGATAGGTAAAAGATACGTATGAAATTACACTGTATATATTACTGTCGTTATAATTATTGTTTGAACTATTGATATTAATTCTTGACTTTTGATACATATATATATAGGGAGTGACACCAATTCAAGATCAAATTCAACAATTCAAAACTTTAGTCCAACAAAACCATATAACCAAAAAACAAATCCAACAATCACTCTTTTTCTTTGAGTCTGGCTCCAATGACATTTTTAGCTACTTCTATCCATTTGATGCCCCAACACTTGCTCCAAATGCCTATGTTCAAGCCATGTTAGATCAAGTTACAAGTTTTGTTGATGAAATTTGCAAGCTAGGGGCACGTCGAATCGCGTTGTTTTCGTTAGGCCCCGTTGGTTGTGTACCAGCTAGGACCCTCTTGCCTGGTGCACCAATTGATAAATGTTATGGAAAGATGAATAAAATGGTCAAAAATTATAATATGGGGTTAGAGAGTTTGGTTAAAATAATACCAACAAAGTATTATCCTGGTTCATTTGCTGTGTTTGGAGATGTGTACAAGATTGTTCAAATCTTCGAAGCCAATCCTAAACATTATGGTAATTTCTTGCATTTATTCACTCCTCTTTCAAATACTATATACTATTCTATCAATATTACTTCCTCCTCGATCTGTCTCATTTTATGTGACACACTTTTCTTTTTAGTCTGTCTTGAAGAATAATTTTTACCTAACTATTACTGTAATTGGAAAAATTTACTTTGTTTGTTTCAGATCAAAATAACCTACTTTTCTTTTTAGTTTGTTTCAAAAAAACGACTTCATTCTTTTTTTGGTCAATACTTTAGTTTCAGTTTCCATGTAACAGGTTTAAAACCACAAAATTAAAGAGCATTTTAATACTTTTGATATAACTTTAATTTAGAACCACGAGATTAATAAGCCTTTCTTATTTTCTTTAACTTGATCATGTCTATTCAAATTATATCATTCTTTTTTAAACGAAGAGACGTTCTTTTTTTGATCAATACTTTAGTTTCAGTTTCCATGTGACAGGTTTAAAATTACAAAATTAAAGAGCATTTTTGTACTTTTGATATAACTTTAATTTAGAATCACGAGATTGATAAGTCTTTCTTATTTTCTTAAACTTGATCATGTCTAGTCAAATTATATCATTCTTTTTTAAACGGAGAGAGTAACTCCTTTATTCTTAATTAAATGATTTTTACAACCAAACAAATAGATATTTGATGATTTTTTTAGACCACAAGTTAATTTCAAGAGCTCCCTTTCTTTCTTCTTCTTAAAAGAAACAATTTCATAGCTACCTGGAAACACACATTTTTTTTTGCATAAATATTCCGAAACATTATGTCAAGATAAACAGTGTCACGTAAAATCAAACGATCGGCGTATATTTCTTTTACATCCAAACATCCACTAAACTAACTCATGATGATTTTGTTACACAGGATTTTCAGATGTGACTAATGCATGTTGTGGTGATGGAACACTTGGAGGATTATTGCAATGTGGCAAAGAAGGTTACAAGATATGTGCAAACCCCAATGAATACTTGTTTTGGGATTATTTTCATCCATCAGAACATACTTATAATCTCATCTCAAAGGCATTGTGGAATGGAATCCATACTAAAATTAGACCTATAAATCTCAAAACACTAGCAAACATGACCCTCACTTAAACAATAATTAAGGAAATTATTAGTTTGTGTTTTGAAAAATCTTAAAATAGAGTGGGGTCTTTGTCTTCTATTTTTTATTTTTTTTAAAATTATATGTATGTTTCTTTGATTTATATATTTCTCTCTATATATATATATTAGTTGTTTTAAGTCTACATCAAATAAGTACGTAAAAGAACATTAACGAAATCAAGATTTGACCTTTATCGATAAATAAACCTTATACGAAAGGTCATCTTATATCAATATATAAGAGTATCGTTACTTACACCTTATAATATGTAGTTTGTAAAAATTCTATGTGAATTTTGTTCCCATAGTTCATAATGTTTCCTTGAACAATAAGTTCCACATTCACTATGTGTCATCAGTATATATAATTGATTCTATGTTAGCTATATATCTTAGATCGGAAAAACTGGCTAATTATACAAATATTTCTATCAAATTTACTAATTCTTCTTGTAATTTGAAATAATTACATTTTATTTCATTAATTTATAATTTTATACTAGAATTCAAGTCAGATACACTAAATATATGTTTTTTGCTATCTAATACGCTACAACATAGGGAGGGATGTGAAGGTTAACAAGAGGGAGACATATACATGTGAATCACTCTACGTATACATAATGTATCTAGTGTGATCCGCATGTATTTGAGATATCAGATCCGCAGGCGAGATAGGAGAGTGGCGAGTGAGATGCAAGGGAGGGGTAGAAAATTATTAATAAAATAAGTTCAGGGATAATAGGACCTTAGTATAGTATAAGTGTGTCTCTGAAATTTCGAACATATATTGAGGAGTACTCGTACATTATTCCTAAATTTTTTTAAAAAATAAGAGGTACTTATCCTCGCTCCAAAATATTTGGATAAAAAGATGAAAGAAATTGTTTGAAAAATTTATAGAATGTTAATTATCTCATAATGTAACTTGATTATTTAATTATTAGTGTCGTGTATTGTGCATGCACCATTTAAAAGATAAGATAACTATGAGTGAGTTAGGATTAACTTATTTAAATTTTAAAGTAGCTCATAAATATTAGAAGATGAAAATTGATTTTATAAATAAAACAATTAATATATATTTTTTATGTACAAATATTGAAAATAGTAATAAGTACGTAATTAATTTGCTTAGTATGAAAATAAAATATATTAGTATTATTTTTTGCAAAATGATTATTGATGGTAAAACAGAAAAAAGAACTGTCAGTATATATATATAATAAATATTTCTTTATTTAAAATATGTTACAAAAAATACCATAGATAATTTAAAACTAAAAGAAAGTATTTTATACAACCAAATATTTTCTTAATTTGTCTAAAATACCAAATTTAAATTAAATAGATCAATCCTTTTATTTATTGTAAATAAGATAAAAAATAAAAACGGCAGCCACATATTAACATATTAGTACTTAGTCGTATATTGACACTTGATGAAGTCAAGTCTTTCAACACTTCAACAACTTTCCTTAACGTGTGATTTCCTAATTATATATTATCAATTCACACCTTAGTTATCTACGTCCGTTTTAATTTGTTTATCATATTTTTTTATTAATCAGATTAAAAAGTATTTTCTTTCTATATATAGGTTTATAGACACAAAATTAATAAACATTTTAATTCTTCAACATGTTTTTACTTAAGGATTGAAGATTTAAAAATGTTTTTTATTTCTATAAACTTCGTAACAACTCAAAACTCGACAATTAAATATTAGTGCTCCAAAAATAGTACACCTCCGTTCTAATTTATATAATATTCTTTAGCACCAACCATTGGTGTTGCGGAGAGTTAAGCGTCAGTTTCTTCATCCTCAATCTCGGACTCTCGAGTTCGAGTCCCCTATTTACAAAGTCGTCTTTGTGAAGGAATGTTTTACCTCCAACATGAACTTTCGGCAGAAACCTATTAGTCAAACTCCAATGTGAGTATGAAGTCACCTTTGTTAGGAAGAATGAACTTCTAACACGATTTCATTAGACTCGAATATAAATACGAAACAGTATAAATTTTCGACATAATTTAATCAGACTCTACTATAACGACTAAACACCAAACGAAACAATTAAAGAAAGTTACTAAAATAAACATGACAAATATACATCAAGAACACTTCAACTAAATGGTTTCCTCCTAAAACCCCAAAAGAAAATGACATAAATATTAGAAAAAGAAGAAAAAAGAGAAGAACTTTCCACTACTTTTAAAATATTAAATTTCATCGCAATTTAGCCAACACAAATCCCACGGGATTTTTCCTATGCAGCCCCACACGCATTACACATCGACCATATATTTATATACTCCCACTCATTTTAGTTTAACACGAATAAATTTAGCTAGTGTATGATTATAATTTTTTTTTAAAAATAATTTTAAATAAAACTTTTGAATGTATTTGGTTATAATCTTTTTTAAATAATAACAATGATAAAATTAAATATTTTTTCATATAATTTTTAATGTATTATGAACAATCATGACGAATATACATTTCAGATTGAATAATCAAAAAAAATATAAATGATCAATTAGAGTTATATATAGATAATTTTTGTTTATGAGATACACAAGCTTAAAGTACGTTATAAAATGTAAAAAGATTTTACCAAAAGACTTTGACTCGAAGTCAAGATAGCGTTTGATTTTAGATTATCTAATATTTTTTAAAAAATTAAGTAAAAAATATTTTACAAATAACGTTCGACACTAATTATCTCCATTTCATCTTTTAAAGCAAACCATATAACTTAATGTATATATCTTCGAAGATAATACTTTTTACTTATATAAAAATATAAGAATTATAATTTAAAATTACTACTTTTCGAATACAAAAAATCAATAAAACCATAAGTAAAATTTAAGAAAAGTAATATACACACAAAATCTTTTACCTCATTACCTCGCAACCATGCCAAATACACTCTAATTCATATAAATTTTAATTTTTAAACGAAAAAGGACCTAAAATATTCTTGAAGTATTAAAAATGGTACAGAATTACCCTTCATCCACCTATTGGCTCCAAAATGTAATTCTCATTTACATATTGGCTTTAAAATACCCTTATCATCTATATTTTGGTTCAAAATTGACCACTTATTTAACTTTTTTAAAATTAAACTCTTTATATATTTTTTAAAATACTTGGCGTTCCAACTATTGGTTATAGTTTAATTTATTAATATAATTCATAAACGAACCCACTACTCACTCATTACTAACTAAACCCCACCCAATTAATAATCCAATTATAATATCAAAATCGTCATAAACACTATTAAAACACGATGAAATTATAGATTCCTGAAAAATGACATCCAAAATTATTCGAGTCCGAACCGAAGCCCTAATTAAATTTAGGTTGATCCACTTATTTAGGAGGACACTTTCAATAGAATTCTCTTTCAAGATTTAATTAGAAATTTATGATTCCCGAATTAATTCATGCTCTTTTTTTAAATATAATTTTATAAATATTATGATTTGTTTTAAAACCTTTAATATATTATTTTGAAAAAGATTTATCTATGAAGTAGCATCACATGGTGAGACGTAAACATAGCCAAATTTAAGTTTATCGGTAATTTTTATTTAGAAACTTGAATGTATGATAATTTACTTTTATAGATATTTTTACCTCAAATTTTTAAAAACACTCAATTGTTAGTATCTTTTCTATTGTTGCATTAATAAAATGACGGGTTTATTAATTTGGAGGGGTTTAATTAGTAACTGGTGGATAGTGGATTGATTTATAAATTATAGTAATAAGTTAAATCATAACAAATAGTTTGGCGCCACGTATTTAAAAATATATTTAAATAGTTTAAATTTAAAACCGTTAAATAAGTGGTCAATTTTGAACCAAAAGGTAGATAACAAGAGTATTTTGGAGTCAATAGATGCGTGTAAAGGGTATTTTGGAGCCAATAGGTGAATGTAGAGTAATTTTATACTATTTCAGTACTTTCAAAATATTTTAAGTCCTTTTCCGATTTTTAAAACTTTGTTAAGAAATTCGTGCTTACCCCATTTCTTTTAATATAAGTGACTTGGTTATTGACTTGTTCTTAAGGAATCGTTCTACGTTTAGTTGGAAGCAAGTTACCTCACGTAATTATTTTAAAATAAGTTATTATATCTAATATCACATTATTTATATATATATATATATAATAAAATAATTATCACTAAATTAGAGTAAATTTAATACTTTACTTAGTTTCCTACTAATTCCTCCTCTTTTCTATGCCGTGTATTTCGTCAAACTATTTGACTCAATAGTCACAAAAAACGTGGGAATTTCTAAAATTCAAATTATATAAATCTCCCATTCACACATATTTCTTCAGAAAATTAAAAATTAAAAAAAAAATTCTCTCAATTGAATCAAACTCAAACTCAATTTTCTATGGGAAATTTTACTTCATGCCCAATTTTACCATCAATTAAAACTTCAAAAGCATCGAGAGTTGTTCTTCCCGGAGGTGAAATCAGGCAATTTCGAGAACCGATTAAAGCAGCAGAGATCATGATGGAGTATCCAAGTAATTTTTTAGTTGATTCGAGTTCGTTGAATATCGGAAGGAGATTTTCAGCTTTATCGGCAGATGAAGATTTGGAGTTTGGTAGTGTTTATATTATGTTTCCGATGAAGAGAGTCAATTCCGTTGTGACGGCGACTGATATGACGGTGATTCTACTGGCGGCTAATTCCGCTGCGAAGAGAATATCCGGCGGAAATGGTAGGATTTCGCCGGCGACGGAAAATAATGTTGCCGGAGATCAGGATTCAGGTGAGGTTGAGGTTTTTCCGGTGGAGAGAGAAATGAAATATCGGTTGGCGTGTAGATCGAGGAAACCGTCGTTGGCTACGATCATGGAAGAACCTGTTTCTTTTAGATGAGAAATTTAATTTTTTCTTAAAAAAAATTAGTTTTTTTTAGAGATTTTTTAGTGTGAAAATACACCCTTTTTTTTAAAATTATTATTATTAAAAAAAATTGTGTGCCTCATGTTTTGGGAATATATTGATTACGTTACAATTGAAATGATGTTAATTAAGATGTATTCTTATGTATATGAATATTTATTATTGTGGCATAAGTCTCATAATCTTATTTAATGTTTATCGTGATGTTTAAATAAACATTAATTATGATGTAATTGCTATAAAATATTTTTTTAGAGAGCTTCATGGATTAGTTTATTCATTTCGTTACCACACGATTGTTAATAAGGTAAATTTTGAATCAATTCAAAATTTCTTGATCATCTTTAATCTTTGTTGATAACAGGATAAGTACTTTTAAAATCTCATTTTGTCTGTCAATAAAATTTTTGAAAATCGTGAAAGAAAAAAAATTATAATAAAAATCGATTTTGTATATATTTTGTATGAAATCTCTTATTAATATGACTAAAGATAGATTAATAATGTCACTTTATATCTTAAATTTTAAATCCGTCTCTTAAATCTTTCACGAGAGGGATTCGGTATGTGAATTTTTTGAGAAATAATAGAATATTCAATATTAGGTTGGTATTAGGAGAACACTTCCTTTGACCTTAAAATATAATATTTACATATTTTATATAGTATCGTTCGGGAAAAAAAAATAGATTCTTTTTAAAATTAGAAATTTTAAGAAATGTTATTTTTTAAATGAAGTCAAACTTGATGTGAGTTTAAATTAATTAAACTTCAGTGTATGTATTAAGTAAAAAATAATTTAAAAAAATAAAATTATTTGTCGTAACACCTCATTTGTTTTATTTTATGTATTTTATTTTTACTTGCTATAACATTTATTTATGTTTAAAAAAAGTTATGATCTAAAATAATTTAGATAAAATCCTTATATGATACGATCACATTCAAATTTGAATTGGTTTTAGATATATTATATAACTACGATACTTTTCTTTCTATAACTCCCTACTAAATTGAAATTAACGACATTCAAATTTGATATCAAATAGCTATATTTCTAAAGAATTTTTTTTAAATAAAAAGTCATTTAAAAAAGAGAAAAATATTTTTTAGATAATGAAAAATTATAAAAAAAAAACAAAGGATGTTATTAGAAAGGAGGAAAATATTTGTTTTAAAATTTTTTCATGCTCGATTAATTAAAATATTTGAAAAATATTTTTTCTAGGAAGTCAAGTTTCTTGAAAGTCCGGTAAAGTAGGGAAAATAAGTTTAGCAAGTGATATTCTATATTGATGGTGTACACTTCTCATTCTCTAACATACCTTATCTTCATTCACACTCTCGTAGCCCTCATCACCAACACCTACACCTCTACACTCCACTCCCACCTCATATGTGTCTGGAATATGCGTGAATATTTTTATATTTTTTGTACGCGCTGAACATAAAAAAAATATGTATGAAACCTTACCTATATTCTTGAAAAATATTTTCTTTTATATCGAACACACTCAAAGAATAAAACTTAATACTATTTTCATCTACTTTAATTGTTATAGTTTCCTTTTTTAGAGTCAAATGGTAAAAACTTTGATTGATATTTTATATTGAATTTTTTCATCATATTGATATGCAAACAATTGCAATTTATAGTACTTTTCGTATAGTTTTTTAAAATCTATTTTTTTTTGAAATATCAAATTAGTGTTATCTAATTTAACTTTAAAAATTAATCAATTTGACTTTTAAAAAGCGCAAACATGACAAATAAAAGAAGATTTAGAGAGTAATAATTGAACGGTTTGAATTATGACTTGTTTTTCACGATGTGTCAATAACTCACTCATTTATTAAAACAACTTGGCTCTCTACCCTACAAAAATAAGATAAAATCTACTCCATAACTTCCTATCCTTTCGACTTTTAAAATTACACTAATATATAATTTTTTATATTTTAATCCATTCAAATTTAATCTAACTTTTTCAATTATACACCACTAATCTTATCATTGATGAGAACATGACAAAAATCAATGATTTGTTAGTTGCGTGATGTATCAAAAATGTTGTGAGTTATTTCTTCACTAATAATTATTTCAACTTTCTTCTAAATAAATGAAACTTTAGAAGAGAATATGATATAAATATATTCTATTTTAGGACTATGGGCTATGGGAAAAAGTATAACAAACCTACAAAATGTTATATTTTGTTATTCAACTCAAACCTTTTATTTTCTTTATAACAAGATTATATTTTATAAATAATTAAGATGTTACAAAAGGTTCATTAACCCTATATGGGTCAGTAATTACAATTTTTTTTTTTGAAACAAACTAACTTATTATTTTTAATGGCAATTAATTAAACTAGATATATGCTTCCAAGAATAAGATAAGAAAAATGATTGATCGATGAAAAATAAATCAAATTACATATCGAAAAGACTTTAGTAATTATAAAAGTATTCGTTTGTACGTTTAGTAAATAAATATTGTAATTACTGTAACATTTTCATCTGAACAAACTTTGCAATATCTCATAATTTATTTAAATAAACAATTATAATATATTATGGGGTATTATATGATTAATTTTAATTACTTTGTTAATATTATTATTTTGTAGTATAAAGTTATTTTTAATCCAATTTTTAAAGTTCAAAAGAAAATACCATGTAGGAAATAAAGAAATTCCAAAGAAAATACTATATAGTCATTTTAATTCGAGCCGAAATATGCTTAAATTTTTAAAAAATGTTGTCTATGTTCATACTTCATCCTTTCGAAAATATATATTCACTAAGTCTCATATTACACGATTATCTTACTATAAATATTAATCTCATTGTTCACTTATCAAATCGGGATAAAATTAATTAAATTTTACCCCCTATAATTAATATAACTTTAAAAATTTTAAGCAAATTTTGAAGATCTGATAATTTCTTTTTTCAACAGGCTAAGTAAAATGAACAAAGAGCAAAATAATAAAGTTGATCAATCTATTAATAATTTCATAATCCCCGTATAAAATAAAAAGTGCACATCTAAATTAGAAAAGTTGAGCGAAAAGTGTATAATTCGATTCCGTCCCGTTACCTGTTCCGAAACCAGACCGAACCGGTCTATACCGGGACTAATCGATATCGAACCAGACCGGGACGGGACAGACCGATAACCGGTAAGTACCGGTTCCGCTGCCCCCCTTACATCTAATATAGAACAAAAGGAATAATTTTTTTAAAAATCTGACACAAACTTAATAGTATTTCTTAGACGTTCGAATAACATAGATCAACGTCTAGCGAGATGAAGTATGAGGGAAACAAGAAACATGCAAGAATAACCACTAAGGAAAACAAATCCTATATTGGTGCTTATTAAACCTAATAGCTCAACCAATTCCAATATTAAAGAATATTTCTTGTGTTTGTAATCATACTCCCATAAATAATTCCAACCATTTTCATGTTTGTAAATTGTGTTGATCATCAACTTATCCTTCTTCCTTAGTACCTCTATTCTTTGTTGTAGGGTATTTAAACTTGAATCAACAATACTATAAGATGAATTCCCTGCAAAATATTAGAAAATAATTAAAGTAACAAAAACTTATACCCTCTCTAATTAATTCATTTTGGAATCTAACTTTGTAAGAAATGAAATCTTGATGAAAGAGGTGTTCTTATAATTTTTTTTAATTATGTTAGGAGAGAAAGAGAGGGTAGATAGGAGTGTTACGTTACTTATGAGGTTTGAACCCTTGATTTTAAACGATAGAAACAAGATGTTCACCGAGTAAGAAGATAGCGTCAACCTATACTTATTTTGAATAAACTCTAAATTTTGAATCTGTCCTTCTCATACGAGTTCAAGATCATAACAAAACAAATTGAGTATGAAAAAGTTGATGTTAATATAGAAAATAAAAGCTAAATATTGATAATGAAATGATATTGGGATATATTAATTAATTAATTAATTACCTTCACCATGGAAGCTTTGAGACATGATAATTTGATAATTTTGTAACTTAGGCATATGCAATTTTCTTAAGCAACAAAAGAGAGGTGTTGAAGAGGCAGCCATATTTTATAATGAATTTTGTAACTAAATATTTGTTTAGTGACACTCATATATATAGAGAACGTCATAAGATATTTTATTGGTAGATAATTATATCTTGTAGAAATAGAATCTCTAAATTAAATAATAATAATAGACCTAATACTTTTGGCCAAATTAATAGCTTAAAAATGTTAATACTTTATATATACAACTTTTGACAAAGAATTTTACATCATTATATTACTAAGTAACTAAAAACAATTTTCATTAGATTAAAAGATCCCCACATATTTGTTTTCTATCTATTGGACAAAAAAATTAATTTTGTAAGGATGAGAGTTTATTAATGATATATTACTTTCTTGTTCCAATAAAATTTTAATACCAAATATTATTATAGGTATATGACAAGCTATACCTATATAAGTCAAAATATTGAAATTAATATTATTATAACGAAATTTGACAATAATATAATTTAAAAATCTTTAAAAAATAGCTAGCTATATATAGGATAAATTTTAGTGAGCTAACGTGCTATATATATACCTTCCCTATATTGTATAATGTGTTTAAATTAATTATTTTTAACGATTATATTAAATATATTTTAAAAAGTCATATCAAATAAGTTATTGTTGTAAAAAAAATTCACACCAAATATGATTATTGTATTTTATAGAAAATATTTTGAATTTACATTAAATATTATTGTATTTATTTTGTAGAAATCTCTTGAGAATAATGACAATATATTAAATTAAATTTACAACGGACCACATAATAAATTGATCCTTTTCTATAAATTCAAGGCCACGTGTATACACCAAATTGACATGAAAATTAATTTCAATTTATTAAATTCTAATTTTTGGATAACAAAACTTACCACCTGTATTATGTACTTATCAAGTTTATGTATAAATAATTTAAAAAGTTGAGATACAATAAATTAATCAAAAAAGTGATCCTCCTATTTCTCTTGAAAAAAATTAACTATTCAACACCTCACCCCAATAGAATAAAAGGGGAGACAAAAGCTCTTTTTTTTAATTAAAAAATATACTCATATAATAGAGAGGCTAAAAGTAATTAGCA